CCGAAAATCAACACGTTCTCGACTACTGACAATACTCCACCGTGAAGTCTTATTTAACGAGCCTGAGCTCACCCTATTCATGGCCAGCCACCAAATTGATGGCAGTTCCCCTGTCCTTGACGCCAGGTAGCGTGCAGCGTCAACGGCGAAACATTAGCATAGTAGAGCGCTAAATTCGAAAGTCCAGTCAAATTACAAGGTTGAGGAGGAAGGTCAAGCATCTTGCCAGACGCACAAAGAGGGTTTTGCAACTTGGTAAACCCTTGTGACTGTTCAACTCCCTAGTTTTGGTCCGTTTCTCGAGCCCTTTTTAAGCTGAATCCCTACGTACGCTTTCGGACTGTGGCCACTGAGAGCACGTGACACAAAACACTGGAGAACTTTGACCATTCATACTTCTGATATCTGGCAAAAATTGATTGATGCAACAGCGTTTCAAACTACGCCCTTAGTTAAATTTGCCAAATTTTAAGGAGGCTCTCCTTGTTTCTACCACTCAACAGCAGATCTTTGCGACTACGGGGTCTATCCAGTCTGCTGTTTATCATACAAAAGTATGCAATAAATAAATAATCAAAATGAAATAACGTAAATATCGAGCCCGATATTCTCTTCTACGGCAAATCGGGTTGAGTAATGTTTTACCAGGAGGAAAATTTTATTAATTTTCATTTCCTAATTGTCATGTGCTTATCCAGTGCCATTATTTTCTTATGAAAAGCAATTCTTTGTCATTCGCGACCTTTTATCAACGATAAACTTTTATAATGCAAGTAATACCGGCGACCATGAATAAACACTATCACCCAGAGGATTTTGTAGTGAGCTATTTAAAGTGAATATCATTCAAGTTCTTTGCCATCCTCGGATACATTGAAAATTTCCGCGCAACCTGTTTACAATTTCATATTTTTTGTTGGCGCATTACAAGCATTCATGTGAGCTTGTTCACTTACATTGACTATTTGTTAGGAGACCTTTCGCCGACAGCCGATGCATCATCTTCAGTGCTTGTGGCATTGTGTACGCATTACGCTTGTAAACCGTGATGATTGTATCCCCATCAAAGTGATGATTCACAAATGTTAGTGGCTCTTTAAAACCAACCGTTTTCCTTCTAGAGAATGTTACGCGTTTCTCACAAGTCTAATCGTTTGTCTGGTTTCCAGGTATCAAATGTATTTTTCAACAGTACAAAAAAAGGCTCAAGAAATCTGCAAAACTCTAATATTTACCTTACTTTGAACAATAGAAGAGGACTATAAACGAAAATCCATGTGGATAAAAAATAGAAAACAGTCCAAAATATTTCTTTCCGATTCATTTCCCCAATCGTTTCGTGCACTATAATAAAATCCCGTTAGAGATTAAACTTCAATTCATGTCGGACGGCGAAGAAAAAAGTGCTGTTTAGTGAAATAAATTAGATTATGCAATTTGAGCCGGCTCTTAAGACGTATTACCTCATTCACCGTTTCATTATAATTTAGCAGTTTACTAATTATGAGACAAAACAAACCTAGAAAGAGGAAAATTGGAATTTGTGGAGCACAATCAGGTAATCAATACCGGTGGATCAATTTCTAAACCAGTCACATCATTTGGAATCAGAAGACTAACATAAGTTGTTAAACATTCGTTTCTTATCGCTTTTTTTTGTCCAATCACGAGTGGTCTCAGTTTTGTGAAATTTGAATCATTCAAATCCGTAATGAAAAGGAGAGTCATAGAATAGGTACATTAGAGTGTGGAGCAAATTGAGTGATGCGCGGAACCTGAGAACACGGGAGTTTAGCCATCTTCGGAAAACTGCTCTATTTTATAAGATATGTAACTTGGCTTGTTGTTGCGTTCAGATGAATACCACCGACGGTATTGTTCAAAATATCCTTATTAAAATGTTTATGAATTGTATATTATGAAGATATAATGTTAGCCTCAACAATTATATCATGAGCACTCAAATGGCTGACCAATTTTTCATTGGCATATTCACTATACTAGTGATGCTTGCAAACCTAACTGATAACTAAAACAGATTAAATTGGCCAGCGCGATGACAAAGTGAACGTTTCCACTCGCGTCATAACCTCGGAGGCTAGTGATAACATGAGAGAAAACCGATACAATAATCCCACATAGATGGGCTGCGCTATATCATATGTATTCAAAATAAGAAATAGTTTGATCAGCTGCTCGGAGACCAAATGAGTAGTATGGTTACATTCTGCCTGTGAGGTCCCAGGTTCGATCACCATTTGAACCGATGGATTAGCACCGCTGATGAGTCCCAGTCAGTTCAAAATGCTGTTTAGTGCCTCCCAGATTTTCAGCTCACGCCTCATTTGCACGACGAGTTTTTCAGGAAAACGAATGGATATTTGATTGCCTAATCGTCCTACGTGCATGGACCAACTGACTGCCTTTTATAAAGCTTCTCCCACTTTGTTCCCATTTCTTGGAATTAATAGGGATCACGATGAGGAGACCAGTGTTTTAGATGCAGTGCGAAGTTTGAACGAGGTAAAAGGCGTAAAGCAATTGGGGCGGTATTTCAAACAAGTGAGCCAATCCGCTCGTAAAGGTCAGAGTGGTGATTTGGACGACTTTCTCGGTTGCATTACGGTCGCTGTTAAAGTGAGTGAATTTGTTCTTTTTACCAATCAGTATGATTTGATGAACATCTATGTAAGCATGATTTTTGTGCAGGTAATCTCCACAATGTGATCCGTTTTGCCAACGAACGATATACAATGACTTCTGTTTATAAAAAGTAGCTATAAACAACTGTGGCATGACCCGTACAAACTGTGGTGTAAATCTGTCTTGCTACTGTTCGACGTGTGACTCAGTGCCTGACTCAGTGATTTCCTTTATCGGATCCATCACACTGCAAATATGTCCAGCGAAGACGAACACCGGTAATTGTCCTCCATTGGCATCTAGGTAGAATCACAGGTGTGTGTAGACCAGCTGTGTCCCCTAGATTTCAACCTATACAGAAGGTGATACGGACATATGCTCGCCTCATCCATATTGTGTTCCATATATATTCATTTATAAACGTATGGCACGAAATAATGCTCAAAGAAATTGCTTGTAAGAAGCTTCATCTTTGGAGAGAGAGAAGCAACCAACGGCTTGAGGAACGTATATGTTCCATTGGTATTGTATCGTGCATGATGTGATACTGCCCATTTGCAAATTTCATCTAGGGTTTACCAGCACGTTATGAACGAATTTCAGTGCAACAGAGAAAGACCCAATAACAATCCGAACCGAGTGCCAATTCATTTGGTTACATTATGATCGTTATTGTCTCATATTATAATGAGTAAAACAATAATTGGATAGGCTCGGAGAAACTGCTCACAAGAAGTATTGGGAGATGAACTCGTGTTTATGTCTAGCATGCTCAGAAGCAGTGGCTACCCGCAGCGTTTTATTCAACGGAACAATGGAAAAGCTACCAAAAGTACACAGCGATTGCGTGGAAAACAAGGACTCGTTCATTAGTCTTGGTTTTAAGGGCGACGTTACAGCTGAAATCTTGATAAGAGGACTGAACGGGAGCGGTGAAAGACAAATGCAACGCTGCGCACTTAAGCTGTTCTTTCAAAATTTCGCGACGGATTACCATAAGGAATAAAGATAAACTGCCGACGTTGGCCGGTTAAATGATTGTTTAAGCGTTCACATGCGTTTTTGACGCAGTCTATGTCGGCACGGCACAGCAATTATCCATCCGCATGAAAGAGCATCGTCCGCGCTGACTGAGAAAGGTGATTTGGGATCTATCACAAGTGCGACTTCCGCCCACTTGGTAGACGTTAGTTATCTTGCTAACCCACGTGAAGTATTCCGCATTATATATCAGGCTCCCCGGAACCAGTTTAATTTTCTTAGAATGCGTACGTTGGCCATAGGAGAAGCGATATGTAGTTTTATCATTTGAACCCCAGAAGTGTCTTACCCAAGCTCTCCATCTCCCCTGGGTTCACGAACCCACCTCTCCCCTTTGGTGACACTCATTTCCACACAATTACAACGATCCCTCAGAATCGGGTCAACGTGACTTGACTGAAAACCCCGGAATCGCAGATCTGAGAACGTAGTGTGCAATACACACAGAGTGATCGACTCCTCTTATTTTAATGCTATCCTCTCATAATAAAATCCAACGGTATGACAATGAGTTATTGAAAACAATTATTTGCCTGAAATTGTGTTCTAAATAAGGTTAGCCTCAGTAGTGAAGTTGGTAGGAGTATTACAAATAGGTTCGTGATATTACACGAATGTATTAGAAATCCTTTTCTAAATTCCCTCTTTAAAAGCAGTCAGCTTGAGTTCCAGTTCTTAGCTAGATATATTTGATGTATTTTGTGCAAAGTAAACAAATCACATCGATTCTATCTATTTTCTCACCCAGGACATTCCGATAACCGGTACGGAGAGTTGGTTCAAACTGGCTGGTCGTTCCTCACGATCCAAAGTGCAAGGCAGTATCCATTTGATGTTCAAGGTCACCACAGTGAACGAAGAAGACGAATTGAGGGGACCGAAGATGGCAGACATACGGGCACACATCCAGTTGATCTATGCGTTCATCAATTATGAGTTGAAACAGTCAAAAGTAAGTTGACATTCGGTTGACATCCTCTAGAAGTGTGATGATGAAGCCCAATTATTTGTATACCTAAAAATACCTTGTTTATAATGTACTGAAGAGATTCCTTGAGACGTGTTTTGTTGCAACAATCCATAGCCCATGAGGTAAGCTTAATGCAATGCAGTTTTACATTTGACGTGGTTTGATAATGATTATACGTTTAAGAGACAATCATACAGCCTAGAAACTACGGGGATCGAAGTAGACAAGAGATAAATTATTGTCCATACCTAAGACATTGTTACAGGCGGTAAAGCAAATGAAAGTCAATTTGATCAGAAAGAACATATTTTAGTGCACCATAACCGGCCAGTATTGCAAGATTACGTCATTGGAGTAGAGTTTATCCGGAATTATCCTAATAGTTCATCAAGCACATACATTATTTCTGTTCTATTTTGAATTTGGATTTTCACTATGAATATTGCTTCAGTTTGTACAAATCGCAACCCTCTCACGACAGTTATTCAACCTCTGAATCAGTGTTCTCGCAACGGTACCCGACATATACATACAGGTATTGGTCCAACTCGTGCGACAAAACCCTGGAGTTCGATTCAGTTCCTAATGTCATACATGCATGTCGATAGCCCCGGGACAAACGCATTGATTTCGTTCTTTATCTCCCACTGAAATGTTCCTAATTCACCTGTTTCACTAGTTGAATTGGCACGAATTTCAGTGCAAAGATCCAACTGCGGATCGAGCCCGGGAATTTATGGGCAGAACGCAAGCATGCTACCCAATTCGCCACCGGACAGCTAATAAGACCGTTTTTCATTTTCCATTTACGCGATATGGCACAACCCGTCTTTGCGAGCTTGTTGAGGGTCACAGACCCTGCTCATCTCAGCACTAGTCTCCAGAGTTATAACTTAGTTGGAGACATTCACAACCCGACTACTTATTTCATGTGAGTAATGATGAGACCTAACCAGGTCGAAACAGCTGCCCTGTGCTTTCTGTCTTTTCAGTTCACGCTTTATTTGCTACATACACGACGAATTCCCATTTGAAATTTAATGAAATCCTCCATTACTCATATGATGATTTTGTTGAGGAAAACACGTGTCTTAGCAGCTTGTTTATTCAATTGTAGATCGAAAGGATGACGAAAGATCTCACGCTTGAATCATTCATCTACATAAACCGTGTGACACTTTTTGCTGGTTTCTGATGACTAACGTGATCAAACACAATTTCTGTCTCTTGAAATGGGTCAAATACATTTTCAAATCTATCTAAAAAAGAGCATTTTCACAAATACGTCACAGATAGATGACAACATGAGGGAAACGAAAGGAAGGGAGATACTTGAAAGTAAAATCGAAGGGATTAAGTAGGCACACATAAAAGGAGCTAAATGCAGAATTATCACTGAACAGTCACGCAAAGCATGCATTACCAAATGGATTTTAATCGCCAAAATTCAGTGGATCGTGCCTAAAATTAGAGTCATGTGCGTTTCGTTCAGGCATATTAGAATGTGGAAACGGAAACATGGGTTTGCACGATGTATCCATTGTCATTTCGCTTCATCTGTACACGTGCATACTGCAATCATAGTGGTGTTTGTAGTAAGTGAAATAATAACTGTGAGACAAGGACAGGATCACTCAAATCACAATTGACTACAAGCAACGAGAATACAAGAAGACGAGAGATGGTAGCAGTCAATCTACAAGGCAAACCTAATGTGACTAAATATTCACATTGTTTGTATAGATTGGATTTGAGCGTATAAACGTATAGAGCCAGGGAAATGGCAATGACTGTGTTTGTTGTGTTATTGATGACCTGAAATGCGTGAGTTGGAGTGACACAATGATTTTATTCGAATAACACGTTTATAGATGAATCCAAATTACCATGACTACATTGTGCAAACTCATGTTTCTGGCTTCTCTGATCAAATGTGTAACGGGAACCCAGTGTTTCTAGGTTTTTGTCACGCTCTGTTCCTTAATCTTTGTCTGTTTCAATTCTCCTCTACAAACCTGAATGAGGATACGAATGCGGTGTGTACACACGCGTACACGCATGCCTAGACCAGAAGGCCGAAACACTTGATTGGTTTAAGGAACTGTGGGACTGAGAAACATATCTCCCACTGCAACATTTCAAAAGAATGCGAAATATCATGTGGGTTTGACAGTTGATCATTCGGAATTCACCGAGAGGTTTGAAAAGTTCATGGTTCTAGCATCACTGATGAGGTGAACTTGCTAAGTTAGCATCTTGATTTCACAGCGGTATAACTCGAAACGGTGCGTGAAGAACTTAAAACAACTGTGAACCGATTTTACATAGTAACAAAAGCATTTGGAATGATATCAAAACATTTTTATTTATTTTGCAAAAGGTGAAGCAATTCATATTCCTGAAACGCATGTAAATCAATGATATAAAACAAGCAAAATTGAAAGAAGATTAGCTCCGTAGATAGATGAACATATATATAGATGAACAGACAAACAGACAGATAGACAGACAGACAGACAAATAAATAAATAAATAGATAGATAGATAGATAGATAGATAGATAGATAGATAGATAGATAGAGATAGATAGATAGATAGATAGATAGATAGATAGATAGATAGATAGATAGATAGATAGATAGATAGATAGATAAAATTGTAAAATATCAATACATACTAAATTGTTTCTATCTGACTATCAAAATATCTTGCGAGATGCCAAATGCTTATCGGGATATTTAACTTGTTTCATGTGTTCCGCAGAACGATATAAGGGCCAAGTTTGCTACCAGTAGACAGAAGCAGTAAACATGCATTCTAACGATGATGATAGAAAGCCTAGGCTTTTGAGCTTCTGATAGAATTGCGCTTCCTCTGTACATATGTGCGTGCTCACCATATATAATCCATTTCTTGAATTGATCGTAATCCAGCTGAACAAACAATTCGGTCACGGCTTGAGTGTAGGCATCAGGGCGCCTGGTCTGTTTGTTTATTGTTGTTGTTGTTATTTTCGTAGTTTTCAACTGAGTACTGAGTGAAAATAAGGTTGCCGGACAAACGTGATTTGTGATTTCGCAGAGGGGGGTTTGAACAAACAACAAGGTAGATGAGTGAATAGACGTCCACTCAATAGTACAGAAAACAAAATATTGAAGGAGAAAAACAGATCACATGACACAACAGAATGAAGCTGAAGCTTTGGCCGATAAGACAAAATGGGAACCCAGAGGTGTACAAACATGTTTACGAACGTCGTTCGGATCCGGCACCCTAAAGATATTTTTACTTCTAGAAGATGAATGTTTGAATTAGCCCATTCGGCTTTTCACAGGCATCAGGATGATGATATTCAGTGTGTGTTTCACTCCTTGAGAGATCGTCAATTCCCCACTACTTAGGTTCATTCCAATGCGGTGGAAGTAGTAGTGATAACCGCACAAGGTGATGACCACCGACCTTGTAGCTTGACGGTAAGGGTTTGAACTCCTGACCCGAAGGTTCGCGGTTCGATTCCTGATAGGGACACAAAAATTACGCACTACTGACGAGTCCCGAATAGGACAAAGCCACTGTCTAGTGCTGTTTGTTGGTTATCACAACTATTTCCACCGCATTTATATATTTACTATCTTTGTATTTATTCAGCACACAAATGTAAAATCAACTTTCAGGAAGGAGGCTGAGGCAAAAGATGCTGGCAAGGGATCACTGAAACGGGGAGTATTAACGTGGGCAGGGTTCTAAATCAGGACCCCAAGTCAATATTTAGCTATTCTTAAACTCTTGATCACAGTCGCCCTAAACTTTGATATTTACTTTTCGCCAAAATACATCAGACATTGTGGGAAAAGAATAAAATCAAGCATATAAGGAAGTTTAGTATGGGAATTTTCATTCAACTGAGTCTCAACGAGTCCCGTAGGATCTTTAACTGATAGGTTCGGACAGCGGTATAAATAATTTCACTTAATCCACGTTCACTCACGGTTCTTAAAAAATGTGTTAAAAAACCCAATGATTTGGCAGCACACAGTGAAATGTGGGAGGGAGTTCCAAATCAGGTTTTCCCTAACACCGGAAATGTCACTTCGGCTATTTTGGATAATGTCAGTATCTTTTAATATGAATGTTCACGTTTTTGTGCCATTAGATATACAAGGGTCGCAACTTGTTGTATTTGGTAGCATTGAAAACACTACGGTGTGAGAACGTACAGCCTTCTCGAAAAGTGCTTTGGATGACACTATTTCGATCTCATTCAATACCATTTTCTGCCAGTGTTCGAGATCAATCGTGTCAAGAGTGAGTCACGGATTACTAAACAGATCGAATGTATACAGAGATATAATGATTTATTTCCAAGTGCGTGTGGCAGCAAACTCCGTGGTGGAACAAAATTACCTGCTTGCATTTCGAAACGTTGAATTCAATGCTGTTGACAGGTTACATCAATTGACTTCCGCAGTTTCTTGGAGTTCCCCTGAATTTTGAATGATATGCATGTTTTTTGTCGAGAATGGTTTATACATGTGAGTAAAAGGCGGGTGTTAATTGTGGATTACTATGTAGTCCCTCAAACAGTGTCAATAGACCCAGGTAACAAATTTGACCTGTTAGAGATAGACATTATGTATGCTTGCTTATGCGGTAAAATGGCAATAGAACCATTCGTCTAGCCTCCAAGTTAATCCGGTGGATACCGCATTGGAATACAAGCCTATATTTGAGTCTAAATTGAGCTTACGATAACGGCCTAAGGTGAGGAACCGAACGAGAAATCGCTCGGCAGGGCCATTTTAGATACCGTTTTATCTGAAATGATTGCCCAAAAGAAGCTTGCTCAAAATTGTCGTAGTTTTCTATGAACTGGTCTGGCAAGACTGGTACATTAAATGCAGCAAATCTGCTCATTTGGTTCGAGCTGAAGGTGAGGTGATTAGTTATAACTGGTTGACTTTAATGACGAACATTTAGGTAAA